TAAATTAAATTAAAGTATACATACAAGTACCATTTAAAATATTTGCATCATGATTTTTAACTTTTTCTTTAATTTTTTTACGTTGTTCTCTTTTCATTTCAACTTGTTCTTCTTTTGTAATTTTTCTTTTAAAAACTAAAGACTGATAATATTAAATTTGATAATTTAGGATTTGTTAATAAATATGAATGAAATGATAATTTTTCTAATACTTTAGATGCTATTTCTATTTCTTCTTCTGTTAATAAATCTTCTAATTTAATTTCTTTTTTATTATTATTATTATCAATACTATTATTATCTAATGTATTGTTATTGTTATCAATATTATTATCCAATGTATTATCATCCGATGATGATTGTTGTACATTATCATTGGATGGATGATGAATTGCATCACCATCATCAATAGTCTCCGATGGTGAAGAAGACATTTTTTTTCAAAGTGCAATAATTAAATTGAATTTACATACAATATTATAATATTGATATTAATAATATTTCTTCTTCTTTCAATTAGATAATTCGATGGAATGATATCTATCATAAAGATAGAGTTTATTGGTTAGGAGTGTTTTCTTCAAATAAGTCATATGATTCACTTCTGATTGTGCATCTTGTTCCCTCTCGCTCAAGTCGAATTCGATTACATTGTCAGTGTTAACTTGTTTTCTTGTTTGGGAATTGGTTGAAGAACTTGATTTCTTTGTTGATTGTTTCTTTGCTTTGAATTGAACTAAACTTTGAATTGTTGTGTGAAGTTTGTTTCAGTTCTGCCTCCAATTTTCTGCTCAATTCTTCCAAGTCTGTTTCTGATTTCTTAGGTTTCATAATTCCACAAGTCTTCAAGAACTTGTCTTTGTGTAATATGATTTTTGAGAATTCTAACAATTTTGCTGATTGAAAACCTTGTTGTGCAGATGATTCCTAAGCAGATTTTGTTAATTTCTGGTTCTTGGTTTTGAATACAACTGGCCAATATCAGTCCATTAGACCATCCGCGTATCAAGATCTAATCATCTCATGTACTTACACTAATTGGTATTTACCACATGTAAGTTTACAACACGGTATTTATGTGATAGAATGATGATTAAAAAATAGTACAAAGTTTTGCACTCAACATACTTCTGTTCTGTAAAACCGATTAAAATAAGATAGCTATCATTTCCACTAACTACTCACATAGATATTGGTTATGTTTCAAAAAGAGTTATACTTACACTATCTTACTGATTTTGCTTCGAAAATCCCGCCAAAATCAATAGCGTAAAAATTGACAGTATATTCATATCTCTCCGATTTTAACAAAAATAACCTGTTGTACTACATATAGAGTGTATCTTTAACAAATTTTACGAACATAATTGGAAAATTATATGGTTATTTATACAATACCTGGAAAGATATGTACGTAACCTTGTTGCCAACTCGGAGTCTAAGATTACTAAACTGTTACATTTTCAAATTGCGTATATGATCAACATATTCCTATTTGATCAAAATCGATGGAGAACAAACGTATTTGATTCAACAATTTACTTGTATTGAAACACAACCTTTCTTGTTGCAATGAGATTTACTTTCTGTATAAAATTGTTGCAACACCAGGCAATCCCACTTCTTTTCTTACCATACTTTCTTTGTGTATCATAGGTTGCACGATATTTAGTTCTCATCAAGTAAACAATAGCAATAGATGAAGCAAGGAAATCTTCATAAGATTATTATAAAGAGTATCAGATAAGAAGATTCTGGTTTGTTGCGTTATGTTTCGCTTTTGATTATTGTTTTTGTTTTCGTGCATTAAGATACTGTAATATAACAATCTTCGGTGAGTGTTTACAATTACAGCTTGTTATTACCGTCGAATGAATAAGCTGTCAGGCAGCGTATT